GGAAAAAACATAAATAAAAAAAAGCATTTAATGACTTTCTCGCTGCTTTAAGTATTTTTCATTTAGTTCAATATTTACTTGAAAATATATGCTAACCGTTAAAATCTTAACGCTTGACATTTCTTTTGGCTTTACTGGCATCCTCATCGCTGGCGAAAATTTGATCATTTACAACATTTTTCAAAAGCTATATGTTATAGGAAAGTTTTGGAATATATTCATAATCATAACAAGAGAAAAGCGGATGGTAGGTTAATCTGAAGAAAAACCTCATACACGTTGACCAAGGCTGAGGCTCTTCGTCTATGCGCAAATGCTTGTTAAGGGGTGCAGTGTGCAGCTAGCAATGAGAAAAAGTAGTGGAAAAGTTAGCAAAAGAAAATAAGTTCTTTCTTTAATCTGCTTCTCGAACCCGAGCAACGACAACAACAGCTTGTTAGATTGTTTTCTTACGTTCAACCTGCAGGACGCAAGTTTCGAGATGTTTCGATAAAGACGTGCTTTGAAAAGTCGGGACATGAACAATTGTGGGGTGGTGAAGGATATTGATTGACCCGTGACTCACTATAGGGTTTTTACTTGGTTTTCATTTAATCGCCGAACCAATTTTTTAATTTACTTAGAATGTGTTTTTTATGAAAATTCAAGGAAAAACGAATAAGTTAAAAAGTCTTTTCTCCCCGGACCATAACAATTAATATTAAATTAGATCCAAAAGAAGTCAGTATTTCAATGATGACCGATGATGACATCGTGAACAATGGTAGAGAAATTTTAATCTATTCCTTCATAAAAATAATTTTCAAACTTTCAATTTTATGTTTTTTCTTTTTTTTTTTTGTTGAATAAAAAAATTGTAAGAAATTTGTTTTTAAATTTTCAAAGAGATATTTACGAAGAAAAGTAAGATACGGAGACGAGAAGAAGAATAGAGAAAACCATTAAAATCACCATTAAACTTGAATTTGTATGCAAATCCGATTAGAATTAAAAATTCTGGCAATCAAAACAACTTTTTAAAAACATTATCGCCAACACAATCAAAGAGGAATCAGAAACCATATGTTGGAGAAGAAGTTTTTTATAATCACATCCTGGATATAAATCATTTGTATAGACGGTACAAAATTTTTTAGATTTTCGCAAAAAATAACAAGCAGGAAAAATAGAATACACCCCGACTGAAATTACCAATCACGTAAACAAGATGGGCTTAATTGCCAATGTCGTTACAGACATAAAGCGACTTTGGCTCTATTCTCTTTTTAACAATTGACCCAGGTTTAGCACCTCGCAGCGATACATACAGTGTCATGCAACCACATTGTTTGGCACAGCGTTAAACATGACGAGCTTTGTGGCAAAAAGAAAAGCATTCGCCCGCAACACTGCTTCTTTTCCGGAACGGTGCAGAAGAAAAGATTTTTTGAATCATATCGTTACTGAACACGAAAACCGCATCTATTTTGAAAACTTTAGGTGCAAAAATTCGTAGATGGATCCCCGCATATGAACCGCTTATTGTTAAAAAACATGCAGAATGTCAAGAAAAGAGACTCGAGATCCCTTTTTCACCTGTCATCCGTCCATCCATCTATGTTTGAAAACCGGTTCACGACGTGTTGGACGCACTCAATTGGAAAAAGCTAGCCCAAGCGGCTGCTTCCCCAGACATGAATCCTTTCGTTTATCACTTGTGTGCATTGACAGGGCGTGCTCTTATCAAGCAATGCTGGTTCGCACACTAATGCGAAAAATACGAGTGGAGGAATGTTCCGAGGCAAAAAGGGAAGGACTTTTAAAGCCGTGGCACCTACCAATCGTCAGACGGGCAGAAAAATGGACAGCTAGTCAAGTGCAGTACTTCCTGTTAAATGTTTCTTATCAGTTTTTTACAATACACGTGCGTTTTCTATGCTAAGATGTTGATATCGTATTTACCCACTTGGTCATTTATTATCTCACATGATTTTCATTTACTTTCAAGAGCTAATTTGAAATCTACTCCGCGAAAAAAAATGTCATCAGAAAGAAGTAATATCTCATGGATCTTCAAGAACAAAAGGGGATGTCTTGATTAAGTACAGGTAAGTGGGGATCATCCTGTTAATCTAATGGAAACGGTGTTGGCAGCCAAAAAGTCTTATGGGCTTCTTATTGTGAAGCCACTCTATATCAAATATTTATGAAACGCAATCGTACACATTTCGTAAATCGCAAATTGCCGATCATTGATGAATTATTTCACAGGCAAAATTACAATCACATCGCCGCGCGTGTTGAAAACCTCTTTTAGAACGTTTCTTGCAAGTGTTAGCATCATTATAACACGATCACTCTTTATCTTAACCACGTATCCTTTTGCTTTACAATCGAAGCAGTGCAAGTCTATAACCCACGGTCAGCCATGACATTGGTTAAATGTGCGACATCGCAACCTTAAATCTTTTGAAAGCTGTAAATACTTTTTATAAAGCGAAACCTGACGTAACCCATCCATGACAAAGCACTTATAGAAAAGAGTTCCCTTTACGCATTTAATGAAAAGATGATACTTGCCGCTCACTTAGTAACGAATTCTTTCATTCATTAAATTTAAGAAAGCGTTGCTCAGCTGTTCCCGCTAAAGAATTAAGTGCTTTTACATTAACCACGGCCTAACTGCAAATAATGGACTCTGCTTTAAGCCCTAAAAGTTGGGCCAATGCTAAATTTTTGTGTTATTAAAACTCTGAGTTTATAATTTAAACAACGGATAATAATTAAAAACGAATTTAAAGCTTTTATGGTTATACTTCGCGCCATAAAAAATAAGTATATTAAAGCAATTTCGTGTTTACGAAACTGTGTGCCAAAGGCTACATATCGAGCAATCAGACTACCTCAACATGACTGAATATATCTTGACATATACTGTTAATTAATTAATAATTGGCGGTGCCTTAAAGACTACGCTGCTATCTGTCACTGCATTAACTTTACTTTCTTGATGTTATCGATACCACAATGCCCGGCACCAATGACTAGGAAGAGCTATAAGTTCAAATCACTATCAGACAACCGTCCAACCCATAAAAGAAGCTTAGCCGAATTGGAAGCTACTGAAACACCTGCTCTATTGCCCCGATTTAACTGCTTGTTCCGACTAGTTCCAAAATTCGAAGAATGAAATGCTAAAGAAAAAAGCATAAACGTTGATGATGTAGCAACACAGACTAATGCCTATTTCACCATAATAAATGCAGCCTCCTTTTTAGGAATCTACATACGTTAAAGGTATAAATGGCACCCAATGCAAGTTAACGTAAACGAAATTCATTTTGTCAAAACGTTTGTAACACCCGCTCCAGACCCTCCAGAGATCCCATAAAGCATATTTATTATTTATTTATTATTTATAACTATCAAAACAGGAATCGGTCTAAACATGTCTGTCGGCCCACCTATACGTTAGAAGAAGATAACAACTTGAGACACACGATATGAATTTGCAATTTTACTCCGCAAAAATAGAAAAGCCAACCACGCCCACCCAACATAATAGAGTATGAAGATTTGAATATAGTTTTCTTACCTGTTTTCTTTTCTGGACACTAAAAGGGGTTGATTGCACATCCTCCAATTGTCTGTAAATCCAGCAATTATCTGTATTGACAAGTTTATAAGATTTTAGAGGAAAATTAATCCAAAAACGCCTATCTGTCTACTGCTTTTGAAACTTAATATCATTGTGCGGAACAAACTTACTTATTTTCCAAAGTGAAGGTACATTTTTATAGTGTGTTAAAAGGAAAGGGAACATATCTGCAATTGACTTCCTTCCTATATATACTTTTGGTGTACCTAACTCTTTACCAGCGGCAGCCATACTTGCAACCGTAAAGGCAGCCAATACACAAAACACAAATGAAATGAAATAAGTAATAACAATAAAAAGCAGAGATTAAATTAAAACTTTTCCCTCTGTTTCAATGCATGAAAATTCATAGGGCTTACCGTGAAGGACATTTCACGGACATTGAGTTAAATAGTGAGTAAAATCGTTATGGTAAAACACATATGGAGGGTGAATAAAGTAATGAAATACACTGAGTAAAGAGTAATGAATGGTTTCATAAACATAAAAAATATTGAAAAATCTGAGTATAATAGGGAGCGTATATATGTAGAAATTATAGAAAAACAATAGGAAATAAATACTAAAATATTATTACTCCCTCCCTTCACCCTTTTTAAGTAAATAACAAAATGAAACGTTGAAAGTAGTAAAAATGTTATATTCCACTTATGACCATAGTACACATCACTGGTAACGATCACCTCATACAATTGCAAAATATTTTGCTAAATGTGGAACACTTAATAAGTTGCTACCAAATATTTATGCCATGTTTTAGACAGAGATTGCTTACATGATATTTTGAACATCACATATCATATTATCCATAGATACGTTATTCCCGTTTTTGATTTATGTCTCAGAAAATATCCAATCCAATGGGGTCTCAAAATATTTTGTGCTCTTGCAGATACCGCAATGCCGTACAATTATGGGTTATTTAGTCTGTTTCGGGAAATCCGTAAAATGTTCAACGATCATTACCACTTACTTGGTCTATCCGCTTGGTCCGTTAATAAGGTCAAAAGCATTATGTTGCATAACTAATTGCTAAAAATTTTCGAGTCTTGCCCAGATACGAGTAAATTGAATTAAAATGCTCCTCTGTATTTGATTGTTTCTCATTTGTTACTATTAATAATCTATAAATAAGCACATACTCATTCATCAACATGTACCGTAGTATTTTAATTTAGGGCTTGAATAAATTTCGGTGTATATTATATGTTGACCTCACATTTATTTTTATTTATTTTTCTTCGTTACACTACATATTAAGTTATTTTTTAGCCTACAATTGGCTAATGATTTGTTCTGTAGCGGAATTTAATTAAGTAAATCAATAAATAAATATACGTAAAAGTGTAAAAGGCTTACTTACTTTATAGCTAGTTGCAGGCGCGTAATTCTCATTCCTCACTTTCATTCTTCGCATTTAATTAACATTGTGCGTGTTATGCTTTATATTTCTACTGCACAGTTTCCAAGTGGGTGACAAGCAGGTTGATAGTTAAAATGTTGTATTCATTAGATTTCATTGGAGAAGTAGACCCTTGCAAACAAATCTGAACGAGATAGCCACTCGACCAACGGTACGTTACCTGCTTATTAGTATATTGGTGAATGCGTTCTTGATAACATGTCGACTTTGAAAGATGTAGATGTTGCCTTCGGTTCGCAACATGTCGAAAGAATGATGGAAAAAGCTACATAGCTTTTAGGATTCCCAAAAAAGTTGCTTAAGAAATTCGACGATCTTTACTTAACTGAACGAAAAATTGGAGATGCTGTACTACAACAACAGGCGCAAAGACGTTTCAAAGACGGGAGAGAGTAAGTCTCTTAGCCAACTCATCAATTAATCGGGTTTCGCGAAAGGCTCTGCTCGATTAGCGCATTGTGTCTTCATTTACTCTTCTTTTAGCTTAGTGTCGCGGATAAATATTTTCTGATGAATAGACTCCTTTATAAGCTGTTATATACGTAAATAACAAAGAAAAAAAAGAACAAGGACTTAGAGTACATGCGCAGGGTATGTAAGATCCGTCCTATGCAGGAGACTAACATCTTCTTTTGGTTTTGGAGACAAAATGTTTGCGTTTCCTAAACGATTTTAATTGTTGTTAATTTCAAACCATCATCAATATGAAACAACTTTAAACAACTTTAGTTCAGTTTCACAGCACACCGAGTCAACTGCAAAAGTTATCATTGCCTTCGTTTCCTTAGCAGACAGTTATGCTTCTTTCATAATTTATGAACATTTTATAGAAAAAAAAAAAGAAAAAAACATAATTAATCTACAATTGCGAGCGCATACAATTAAATGCGATAATATTTTCTGCACTTATTTACATTATTTCCTTTTCCGTTCTCTCTCTCTTACTCTCCACTTAATTATATTCATATGTAATTTTTACTTCATCAACAATTATTTCTTATTTCGCATTAATTGAAAATAACAAAAAAAAGAGGAAGAAAAAACAACTTTTAATTAGCTTAAAGAAAAAGTTTTTCAATTAACTACACCTGCCAACTGTTTGTTCCACTTTTCAACGTATTTAACTGAAAAATAAGCATATATACAGAAATTTCTGTAGGGTACTCCCTCGCATATGCTCTCACACAAACGACATTATTATTTTGCATTGTTTATTGCTAAGTGAAAGAAAAGAAAATCGTACGAACGCATGCAATGCTTATACTTTTACTTATACTTTTGTGTAAGCATGGGTTGGCTTTATGCTCGATGCCTTTTTAGTGCCTTAAGTGTAAAGATTAAAATTGTGAACCAAACGGTCCCACCATCTTCTCCTCCTGCACCACAATGCTGTTTTTCTCACTCATTTCCATCTTCACTGCTTTGCTATATTAATTCGAAAAGTGTTAGTTGTTCGTGATTTTCTAATGTTCTTATTTGTCCATGCCGTCCTGAGCGTACGCCTGCAAAAGTCTTTAGCCTTAACTAAAGAGCTGAAGTGTTTTCTTTTTCAACTGCAAACAACTTTCATTTGTATTTGGCAATGAAATTGTCGCATATCATATGCACGCACGCACGTACGCCTTAATGCTTTCAGCAACAAAACAAAGGCTAGAAATAAACTTTATGCCGTGCATTTCGACGATAAACATCCATAGCAAAAACAAATTGAATTTGTTAATATCCACAATTAGTTATATTTTCAATAACTAACCCGAGAAATTTTGTAATCTTATGATACGTCATTCCAGGAAGACAGACGCTACCACGATTTACTCTGGTTTTTTTTCGTTTCTTTCCCCAATTCGCTAAGTTAAGTCATCTTTATAACTATTACTATTAGTCCGTTAATATCGCATTATTATATTATTACTATTGGGTTTTTACATTCCTCAGCTTGGACATAGCCGCATGTATTACACCCAAAGTCAGTTGGTTTACAATTTCGAATCTTAATGCTTCTGAGATTCATTTATTCTATCTTGTGGCAACTCTATTTATTAGTGTTGCAGAAATCAGCGCGTAAAATTCGCTATGGAGAGCATTACCGCTTTCTGTAGTGCTTTAGGCTTTTTATTGGAGTTTTTGGCATGACATCACGATAAGGGTTAGGTTACCTTTTCCTACATTGCATACAACTGTTGTCTTTCGCGCCAGCTCCGTATATTTGGTAAACTTATGGGAGCTAGTTGTTTTTACGTTTCGTGTAAGCAGAGAATCTATAACGGCGATCGTCTTGTCCTGCCAAGTTAGTACGACAGCATATATAGCTTATTGGCGTTGATTGGTCAGTCAGTCATAACCTGTCTGTCTGATAGCTTTCTCCGGCGCCGACTGGTATTTGTAACAGGGGACTAAAAATATTTGTATATTGTGTTTCTCCGCCAATGTTTGACGGACTATTTTGCATACTTGGTTGTGTTTGTTTAGATATTCCGTATTGGTTAGTGTTGAGTATCCGGCAACAATATAATCTATTGTCTCTATGCCACTTCGGCATTTTCAAATCATATCCGCTCATACTTCTTGCCTTTTTTTGTCTTGCTATTGTGATTAGCAATATTATTATTAAAATTTAGCATTTATAAAACAAATAAATTTGTAATGTTATCATTCAGTAGTTCAGAAAAGCAGCTGCTATCGCTACTTCTCTAAATGTAATACTGCCTTCAATTTACCCGATTTTTGAGCATTTAAGCCAAGAAGGGTTAAGGAATATTTGAGATTATATTAAGTAAATTCTTGGATGAAAATAAGGTGAGCACTAGCAGCTAAGACTATCGGTTCGATTAGCTAAATAAATAAATGAAAACAATGCCAAATAAAACTGACATAGAGGGACGCTTCGCTATGGATCTGAGGTGAAGTGATTATCATGAATGATTATGAGGTTATACAAAAGTATGTGTTCAAGTGCCGTTTATTAACAGCATTGTGCTGTTCGTTGCGATGTGATCATTTATAATCTTCACGTCGTCACACAATCAAAACTTGAATCATCTTTATTTTTACAATGTTGACGTTTATTAACAGCAACCAGAGCAAGATGATAACGATGGCAAACTGTCAAACGAATTCTAGAGATATGCCATTTGCATAAAATTTTAAATGATATATTGAGATGTGCCGTAATACACCAAACTACAAACCTGTTATTAAGAAAGAGTTTTTTATTTAAAACTCAACCAATGTCATCGACCAAGCATTATCCTTTTATGATATCTGTCTGTCATTGTGTGCTTCTTATTCTTTACAAAGCTAAATGTCACTTTTCAAGGGGAATATTTGGAGCGAATGCAAAATGAACCATAAACGCTGCAGGTCCGACACTTTACTGAAAATGCGAAGAATATATGATGAAAGCGATGAAGCGATGAAATTTATTGAAATAGAAGAAACTTACTTTCACTTATTTTTCCCACAGAATGCTAATTCATAACTGATGAGATGTATGCATATATGATTTCATGACACAAAATTGCAGTTTATTAAAGACTTTTCTTGTGTCAACATGAGCTTGTGCTTGACAACGTGACAAAATTCCTCATCAAAAGCGAAGAAAAGGAAAATTTCTCATTAAAAAGTTTTGTAGTTACTTTCACGTTCGTATAAGACGAAGAATAAAAAAGCACAAGCCTATATAACTTCAGGTTTTTAACGTAGCAGGTTCACACACATTCATAAACATTACAATCTTAAGTTACTCTATATATTACACATACCACACCAATTACGAAAAGGCATAACAAAATTAATTTTGAAAATAATTTTTAAATCTTATAATGCAAAAAAAAAAAAAAAAAAAAAAAAAAAAAAAAAAAAAGTAAATTTGTTTAAAAAACAAAAAAAAGTGCAAAGATGAACAAACAATGCTATTACACAATAGTGAGCGAATGCCACACAAGGCTGGGAAGTATGCATTCGTTTCGTTTGGCATATGCTTACTTTAATGTTATACGAGAAAAAGAGGAAAAATATTCCTCTTTGTCTGGCCATGTTTATGTATATATATATATATAAATATATATATTTATGTAAAATGGTGTAGGCTTGTGGTTGACATAAATTTCTTATAAAACATATTTGTTTATACCACATAAAAACAAACATATCTTAACCAATGTTCCTCGTTCTTTTTTTTTTTTTTTTTGAAGTAACGACATTTTCTTAGTTGATGTTCACATGCAAGCCAAAGGCTATTTATTAATGCATTTTCATTTCGTATTCAGCTTTTTAATTTTTTTCTTTTTCCCCATTTTTCTTTTTCTTACTCTTCCATTTTGCCTTTCGCCTTCGATGCCTTGTCGTTTTACAATTAGTTGCAACAATGACAACCGCAATGGGGTCATATTGTAAATGGAATCGAAAATTGCTTATATGCTATATGCATATATACATATAAACATATATAAATATATACCCAGCTATAAGAGATTGCATAAATATTCTATGGCAGAATTGTATACAAAAGTATATTGCTTCCTATAAAGAATAAAACCGAAGGTGAGCCAATAATTTTTACCGTTCGTAAAGTTTATAACCACCAACACCAATATGATAATACGTATACAAAGAATTTCAAGGAAAATTTTCCAATTTTTTCTTATAGCATCTTGCTTCATTCAAGAAAATAAGATTTCGAAAAACTACGTTTTCAGAAAACCATGACTGTCTTTATAATAATTTTGTTTTCAGTTCAGGCTACTCACTGAAGGTTTAAAGATTTCAACGTAGAGTAACTCAGGTATTGCACCAACTGTACATAAATACGTTCTTGTTCTTGGGTTTAATTTATAGTTATTGTTGTTGTTGTCTTTTATTTTATCTTCTTAATGCCTACCTCAGGCTGGCCTTATAACGAGGCAAAGAAAAGAAAAACAAATGTGGTTAAGATGAAGAAATGTTTATACACGTATATATGTATAAAATAGAGTAAAAGAAAATCGAATGAGCAAAGAGAAAATTAAAGTGAGAAGCGAAAAGAAGACGTATGGAAAACCACAACAAAAAATAGGAAATTGGATTTTGGCAGTGTGCTGGCTGTTAAGGGTTAACCAATATATTCACATATGTCCTTACATGGTAAGCTTATTTAATATATGTACAAATTAAAGAGAATATATGCATATACATATACTTATATACATATATATACATATATACACACACATATATGGATGCTTGAGTTTTCAATAAATTTCGATTTGCCCTTGCGCCCATGCATATGGATGTTTTTCTGCATAATGACGTTGATGATGATGTAGTTGCTTCACATACAGAGCATACAGACAGCCCTTGTAGCAAATTGAAGGCTTTGTTGTCTACAGAATCTATACATATCTACGTACGTATGTACATATGTATGCAAATGCAATCTCTAACATATGAATGACTTGCTTAAATGAATAATGAGGTAATATAAAGTCTTTTACTTACATATAAATATATGCTATAGACTGCAGGGAAGCTAGGACGGGTTAACAAGAGAACGTAGTTAAATGACTTCATTTATTGTGTGTTTCAAATT